ATTTACTATTGTTGACTTAAAGCAAGATTTACAAGTAAAATAAGTCTACTTATAGTTGAAAAATAACATATTATAAAATATCTAAATGTTAATTTTTTTTCTAAACTGGTCGTTTATTATTTTAACTAAATAGTTTATCTATATTTTATACAAAAATATTCCAAAACAACTTATTCCTTAACATTTTTTGATAATTTTTTGATACGATTAAGTATTTATATACAAATCGTTTAATCAGTGTAATTTTTATCGAAAATTTATTACAGATATGTTCCCGCACGCCAATTGGTTTTATTTTATTTACAAAATACATTTGTCAAAACACTGACATTTTTTTAAATTTACTTCCTCGCAGCGATTGTTATCACGTATTAAATTGACCAATTCTTTATACTGTTCTCTTTTCGCAGTGTTTCCTCTAATACAATATATGAAATCGATCAAATAATTATACCACATTTTAGTTTCATACATACAACAATGTTGTCTAGTAAAAAGATCATCAACAAAATGTGCGTTGCATGGTAATTCGGCGTAAAAATAATTTAGATTTTGAATTTTTGGGAAATTCAATTCGTTAAGATCAAAACAATAAACATTTTTAAGACATTTTGAAATTAAAGGCTCCATGATACTGCCTTTATACAAAACAGTTCGTTAGATATTTTTCAAAATATGTCTATAAATAATTAGTACAAAAATACTATCAGAATTGCACATTAAACTAGGATCATAAGTCAATCCATGCACATATTTATGACAAAAATTAAAAGCTTTTTGATGTTTTACAGATAATCTTTTATAAGTAACGCACGGCCACACCTGCGTGTGAACATAAAAATCATCATTTAACGCTCTTAAACATTAAACATTAAACGTTACTTATAAAAGGTTATCTGTAAAGCTTTTAATTTTGTCATAAAGTTTTTCAAACTCATAAATATATTCAGTATCAAACAGCCAAATCTAAAAAAAAAATAACAAGGTTTTTTCTTAAAATTGAAACGCATCTTATTTTTAAATTTTATAAGCATGTATAAAAACCAAACAAAAAGTTTATATTTAAAAAAACTTTTTTTTTATCAAAAAAATGAATTGTGTTGACAGCATCATTATAAAAATTCACAACAATTGCGCTGTTTGCGCATTAGACAAAGTAGCCAAAAAGTACACGAGTAAATTTGTAAAAGTAAATGAGTTAAAAAATAAATCTGTAAATAAGTTAAAAAATAAATCTGGCAACTCTTCACCGTCTTCTTTTACTTATGAAGAAGAAGATTATACAGACGAAAGTTCAAACGCTTTTTTTGAATACATTTTAAGTTGATGCAAAACGCATCAACTTAAATTCTCTTGAAAAATGTTTTAAAAACAGTCAATTTAAAAATTTACTGGAACAACCTCAACTGTGTGAATATCATTTGGATCATTTTAAAAAATTAGAAAAAGAACGCGTAAACGAAAGCGTTGTAGCTGAATACAACAAATCCAAACTCAAAGTTTTGCTGCTCGAAAGAGACGTTAAAGTAAAGGTTCCATTTGAAGGAGATCAAACAGACGGTTTCGTAGATACTTTTGTAGACAAAATAATACCTACCGCTTCTACTATCATAAATAAACTAGATGGTGCTTTAAAAAAAAAAAAATCTGTTTAAAGAAACATTCAAACAAAGAATCATAAAAGAAGGAACTTCTAATAAAAAACTTAATTTATTAACGTATTACACGCTTTTGTAACATTTATTTCAAGTTTTTTTAAGTTTAGAAAAAGATTAAAATGTGCACTAACGAATCTTTGTCTCGTTATTTTAATAGGGAACCCCTATTTCAAGATTATTTTATAGGTGAATACGCATTTAACGGAATAAGTCAAACACGCACACACCTTCACATTATTCGTAACATGACAAAAAACGGTTCTTTTTTTGTATAACAACGAAACTACTAAAGAAAAAGGTGAACATTGGAGACTTTTACTTAAAGTAGACTCTAACCATTTTTTTTTTGTCTTGACAGTTGTTTTCAACAAATTCCTAGTTTTTTAAGATACAACAGACATTTATTTGAAAGTGTAGAAGAAGTTAAAACTAATGTACAAATTAACAATATCAACATTAACTATAACGAAATTGAAATTAGTTCTTACATAAGACAAACTCATCATTTCCCATACGAATGGACAGCTGACAATCACGAGTTTTATTGGTTTACCAAATTTATTTTAAAAAACAGTTCTATGACAGGCGAACAAAACATTTTGTTTTCTTATAATAAAACATGTTTTCAATCGAACAACAGTAGTTTATTTGGAGCTTTTGCATATTTTATTTCGCTCTAATTTAGCGAAAAAGATTACATATACAGCGGGCAAATGTATTTACCTTTGTTGTGCAGACTGCTAAATTATCATTTTTTTTGATGTTTCGACAGTTCATGCTTCTGAATTAGCTCAGATAAATCTATTGCAATTTTTTTATAAAAAACAAATTGTTTTCACACTTGGACTCTAGACAACTTTTTGAAAAAGATATGAAACTACACCTCTATTTAAGAGAAAACGAAAGACTGGAACGTAATTTATTGTTTTTGAAAACAAAACAAATTCCAATCGAACATGACATATTTAAAGAGCAAGTTATTACAAATAACAAAATTAAAAATTTCTTAAAAGATGCCATGTTATTAAGAACCAATCACGAAAGTCAATGGGACAAATTATCTATACATGACATTATTGCCATTCGAGATGTCATGAACAAAGAAAACCCGTATTTAAAACAAAAAGAAAAAATGAACCAAATTTACACCCTTAATTACAGGAAGATTAAAAGATTGAAACAATTATCTGATGATGTCATGAACAATGATCTGATGATGTGATCATGAACAATGATCAATGATCTGATGATGTCTTAAACAATGATCTGATGATGTCAACAATCTATCTGATTATGTCATGACTCAAAAAGAAATAAAAACCGTATCATGATGAACTTGTTTTTATCAGAAAAAAAATGCAACGAGTCGCTTTATGTCCAACAAAAGAAACATGCAAAAAGTGTAATGAAACATGCAAAAAGTGTAATGAAGAAACATGTAAAAAGTGTAAAGAAGAAACATGCAAAAAGTGTAATGGACTCGGCAAGTTTTACGTAACTACAATAAAAGATCCAATACTTACAAAAATATTACAAGATTGCGAAGCAAATATATTTAACGACGAAATTTGGCAACGTTACTTACCTTAAAACATGATGATACCAATTCAAACTGGCAAAAATATATGTAATCATTGTAACGGCAACAAAAAACTATTATTGAGAAAAAACAAAAACTTTAAAAATCGTCAATAATCAACAAGAAATAAACAATTTAATTTGTATTATGTTTTAATTTAAATATTTTTTTGTTTTCAAAAAAAATACATGTTTTTTTTAAATTTGAAACAAAACTTTTATCTGGCGGCATATACGGGTTAAACTTGGGTACTACTGTAGGTGTGGTTTGCACTGATTTTTTAGATTTCCATGTTTTTCTTAATCCATATTACACTGAACCCACTTTTAAAGCGTTGGTAATGTTTTGAGGTGTAACATAATCTGTTAACCCACGAGCACGTAGAATACGTCGAGTTTTACGGGTTTAACGAGAGCGTCTATTTCTTTTTATGCTTTTTCTTCTAAGAACCATATTGATACCGAATCTTTTATAGCACTAACAAAGTCTTCATATAACATATTGAACTCTTTTTGATCTTTTATTAATTCGCCGTTTAAATAATAATCATAAACAAAAACAACGTGCGCTGTATTATTTGAACGAGTGACTTTAATTTGGTTGCTACCGTCCAAACGAAAGATAATTTAAAATTACCCTTTACTGCACTTAAACTACTATCTCCTTGAAAAGTAGTTAATTGTTTAGTTTTAAAATCCATTTTTTTTTATATTTATTTTAAAAAAAGTTATTTTTTCTACTTATATATTTATTTTGTAAAAAAAAATTAATAAAAAATCACTTTTAAATATTTTATTTTAACAATTTATCATTGGTAATTCAAAACCTACCTACAAATCACCTTTATTTACATGACTTACAGTATACAATTTAGAAACAACGTTATAATCTATAATAAATCCACTTAAAAAAGTAGAAATCCAACTAAAAAAGTAGAAATAAATGTCCTAATTCTTTATTTCCAGTGATCATTTGACAAATGATCACTGGAAATAAAGAATTAGGACATTTATTTAAAAAAAAAAAAAAATTTTTTTTTTTAAATAAATAGGACATTTATTTAAAAAAAAATAAAACAAAATGAATTTAACCATTATTTCAAAAAACGTGCAATATTTCCTCCAAGCCTGCATGCTAAATCGTTTATAATAGGTGTAAGAATAACACCCTTCCCTATAATATTCTTATATTTTTTGTATCAAACTATTTATGCATAAATTTATATGTTTTTGCATACTTATAATTTTTACAATATTTTTTCATCTTTTAAAAAAAATTAATTTCTTATGATCTACTTCTGTTTATTAAACTTTGTTAATGATTAACTTAGACTTTGTTAATGATTTATTAATTTTAGACTTGTTCTATTATAAAAAATATTTGTGTCACCCGACACTGTTCCTTACTTATCCTGCCTTACCTAACTTTTTTTTTTTCTTAGTAGGCCTACTTGATATTTTTAACTCTGTTTTTTTACAACCGGTTGATGATCTGCCCCTTTCCGATTATAGCTCTCCGTCCATTCCCAACCCGTTCCCATCCTTAAAAATAACGTCATAAATAACGTCATAATTAATATTATGACATATTTAATCCTGTTAAATTTTTTTTTAAAAAAAGATTTTCTTTTGTTTAAAGTTAATCTAGCGTTATAAAAAAATATATAAAAAAAGATTTTTTTGTAAAATTTTATTATCTTAAAAAAAGATTTTTTTGTAAAATTTTATTATCTTAAAAAAAGATTTTTTTGTAAAATTTTATTATCTTTTTACGATTATAAATGGGTAAAGTAAAAAAAATTCAAGAATGCAAAAAAATAAAAGTAAGACGACAATTATTCGTCAAACCAATAGCTGTAAGTTTATTGTTTTTTTTAAAAAAAAATAAATGTTTTGTATTTTTTTTAAGTGATTGTGTTTTTTTTTTCTAGATTGTTAAACCCTATGTGCCGGAAAATAAATATAAAGCACCTCAAATATATGTGCCTCAAGTGGTAGAAACAAGACCACTTGAGGAATCAGATGAGGAAACTTATGAAAACCAACTGGAAATCTACGACGATCTTCCAGAAATAGACGACGGTAAATTAATATTTATTATAAACATTATATTTTTTTAAAAAAAAACAAAAAAAATATATTAGTTAAAAAAAAATATTTTTTTTAGAACAAGTACGTATACTTGACAGAATTGTGAGTCGTATAGATAATCATTCACAGAACGAATTTGGAACGCCAAGGAGACCAAATGGAAGAAATGATTGACGTGTATTATGTTTTGGTTGTTGTTTGTGCTCGCGACAAAGCGATCACGAACACTGTTGTGTGACAACCGTGTGCCCGTTCATTCAAGGTTTATTTGAACGGTGCCGCGGTTGTTGTTATTGTATTTAAAAATATGTAAAATTGTAAATATGTTAATAAAAAAATTCATTTAACAAAATGTCTTTTGATGCGACGGACGATTGTTTGTTATATTTATATCAACTCAATTTAGATTTAAAAAAACATTTACAGGAAACACATTTAAATCAAGGTATTTGGATGGATAAAGCTGAAGAAAGCGAATTGGATAGTTGTAAAAGAGTATACGGTTTTAATATTAAAGATTTAAAATCGATAAAAACATATCAAATAAAATTGATAGAAGTTCTTGAATTGTTATTTAAATGCCTTCCGCATCGCGTATTTTATCCCGACACGTGTTTTCATAATTATAGTGAAGTCATTGAACATTGTCTTGATGTGTTAAAAACATTTTATTATTATTTTACGTGTATAGATAAATTGTATAAAAAAATAAACAATGTAAATAGTTTAAAAATAATAGTTCAACAATTGTGTTATTATTGTTAAGGATTAGTTGGAGGATTATATTTGCAAAAAGATGTATTGGAATGTTATCATATTATAAAAAAGGAAAGAGACAATATATTAAATGAAAAAATTTATTAATGTAAAAATTTGTTTTTTTCTCATGATAATAATTGTTTTACAAAATTATAAAAGTCTCGTTTTATTTCTTCTGTTTTCTCAATGTTTTTTAAATTGTTTGTTTTAAAACTTCTTCTTGTACCAATAATAATATATTGCCAAACGCTTTTAATGTCGATGGATCATTAATCTTTTCATGTTCAACATTTAAAAATTTTGTCATTATATCGGATTCTTTTCTGTTAAAAAATAAAAGGTCTTGATCGTCAACAGTAATTAGTTTCATTTTTTTATTTTAAAATAAAAAAAGTTAAATAAAATCATACATGTTATTTCTATTAGGTTTAAAATAAGGATTAATAACATATTCATGTTGTTTAAATAACCAATCTATACATTCCATATAAACATTAAAAAAAGATTTCATGACAAATTTATGTTGCTTAGTAGCAGAAAAACAATTTATATAATAAGTATTTACAAAAAGTTTATATATATTATCAACAATCGATATTTGAATATGTAAATAATGTGATCTAATTAATATACGTCTGTCAATTAATTCAAAACAATCGTCTTCGTGTGATTTGTAAACAGAATATTGTGATAAAATTTTTTGATTATTTTGAAAAAACGAATACATCAAATTGTAAATTTGTTTCCGTAAATTTGGTATGACTATTCGTTGTAGTTTTTCAGAAGCTAACTTTTTTTTCCTCAAATCTTTCAAAGTCCATGTATCATTACGGTTTTCATATCTTAATTCTTCATTACACCTAATCCAAAACTCTTTTAATTTGTCTTCTTTTATTGAAAAAAATTTCTCTAAATCATGATGTATTCTAGCATGTCTAAGTAAATTTTTTCTTAACATTCTAAATAAAATCATATTTATAAATATAATAAGGTTTAAAATGAGGATCATAAACAAATTTACATTGTTCAATTAACCAATCTATACATTGCATATAAATATTAAAAAGAGATGACATAATTAATTCGTATTGTTTAGTTTTATAACGAAACATAAAATATGTTTGTTCAAAAAATCGATATACATAACGAATAATTAATTTCTGAACAAATAAAAAATGTTTTTTATAAATATCTTTCGCATTGTTAATATTGTTAATAATGCTATTAAAACAATGATCAATAAATATATGATGATAGAATAATAATTTTTCGTTTCTATCTAAAAATGTATGCAATAAATCGTTAATTTGTTTTTGTAAATTTGGTATAACAGTGTTCAAAAGTTTTTCGTAAGCTAATTTTCTTTTACATAAATCTTGTAAAGACCATGTTTCAACATTTGTAATAAGATTGAAAACAACATCATAGTTGTAGTTCCATTCTTTCAACTTGTTTCGCTTCATCAAATCAAATTCGTGTAATTCATTAAGTATGTTATTAAATTGATTTTTTTTCATTGCTTAAAAAAATATACAAATTTAAAAAAAGGTCATAAAAAATTTTAAAAATAAATTATTTTTTATTATAATAGTTCAAAAGTTCTTTTTGTTTTAAACAAATAACTTCAGGCGGATAATACGACGGAGTATTACATTTTGCGTTTTCTGCCCAAAATGGATCTGCTACTTTAAAGTTTGGAAAATCTCGATTGGATCTGTCTCGATTATCCAGTTCTGCATACGGTGGAGGATTTATACTTTCTTCGTATGATGGTGGTTTTTCAAATTTAACTATAAACTTTTTATAGATATCTTTTCTTCCAATTTCATTTTACAAGTTTAAAATTAGTTTGATTTTAGCCTCGTTAGTATTGTATTCATAGTTATGATATACGAAATCTTTGTATTGTAGATATTCCATAAAATCAAGTCCATCTTTAATTTTCTCTCTTATACCGTAAGGTATTTCTAAAAACATTTTTAATTTTTTTACATCAGACGTAGTGATGTAGTCAGCTAAATCTCTCATGATTGCACTGTTCATTTTTTTTAATATTCTAAAAAAAATATTATGTTATATAAAAAAATATAATATAAAAAATACATTATATAAAAGAAACGTGTATAATAAGTTTATTAATTATATGATTAATTAAATACAAAAAAAATACATAATAAATTATATAAAAGAAACGTGTATAATAAGTTTATTGTTTTTTATATAATGTCTTTTTAATTGTTCGTGCGTTGCAAAACTATCTGTTCCAATAGCTCGGTTATAAGCTTGAGCAGGTTTTTCAAAACATTCTTTTAACGGTTCGCTATAATTGGCTATTATTTTTGTGTTTTCAATATATTCGTTTTTAACTGTACATGTTACAGTTTTCATGAACGGCCATTTTAAAGAATGATCTTTTGGAGACTGTATCAATTGAAAATAAATACCCATTTTATCTTCTTGATTACTGTAACCAAAAATTTTAAATCGGTAGAAATAACCGTCTACAGTATAAGAAGGTTGAGTATGATAAGCTTCGTTAGATTGCAATCTTAAATCCATTTGGTCCAATTCTATAATTAAATTATCAGACATGAATTTGTCGTTGATATCTTTATTATAATTTAATATATTATCATATAGTTTCAATTATTTTTCAAATGTGCTTTTATTCACAAATTCTTTCATTTCCAAGCTGATGTTGTTCAATATTTTTTCAAATGTGTTTTTATTCTCAAACTCTTTTATTTCCAAACCCATGTTGTCCATTTGTTTGGTTAATGCGTTTATTTGTTTGTTGACAGTTGCTAAACTGTTCAGAATGTTATTATTAGTCATGTTTAAAAAAGTTAAACTTTGTTTTTGATCCATAATAATATTTTTTTGTTTTTCCATTACTTCTTTCCATTCATTTTCAAAACGATGTAAACAATCAATAGCGTGTTGATCATAGTAGTTTTTTTGAATTTGATTTCCACAAAATACACATAATTTAGTTTGATTTCTTTCTACGCGTTCCTCGTGATAAATTTCACATTCATGTTCCCAAGTATCTGACAATTTAATTTTTTTTCCGCAGCTAAAACAATCATAATCTTGTGATGTGTTACATTTTAATTGATGATTTAGTAATTGATCAATAGTAAAGGGTAGCTTGCAATAATAACATAATTCTTTTTCCATAGCTTCAGCCATTTTTTTTGGTATAATTAGTTGCTAAAAAAAAGTATTAATAGTATTAATATAAAAAAAAAAGTATTAATATAAAAATTTTTTTTAAATATTATGGGTAAAATTATGTAATATTACAGGTAAAATTATAGTCAAATAGGGTTAACATATTATAAAAAAAACAATATGAAAAAAAATATATTTATTATTAAAAGTAAAAAATACAAATTATTATTTTTATTATATATCGATTGCAATGACAGCTGTTCAGTAAAATATGTTACAATGATATGAATTAGAAAAAGTAAACAAAAGTCTTTCCATTGTTTATTTATACCTTTAGTTTTGGCTTTATTGAGAAAATAAATTTTTCTTAATAAGCTCAAAACTAAAGGAACATTAAAAATAATAAAGTTCCATTCCATTGTTTTTTTTATTTTTTATACCTTTAGTTTTGGCTGCTTTCAGAAATTGAATTTCTTAAAACACTCAAAACTAAAGGGACATTAAAAAAGTTCCATTCCATTGTTTTTTTTATTTTTTATACCTTTAGTTTTGGCTGCTTTAAGAAAATAAATTTCTTAAAACACTCAAAACTAAAGGGACATTAAAAATAATAAAGTTCCATTCCATTGTTTTTTTTTTATTTTTTATACCTTCAGTTTTAATGGCTATTAGAAAATAATTTCTGATAGCCAATAGAACTGAAAGGACATTAAAAATAAAAAAAAAATACAAAATAATTTGTAAAAAGTTAATTGTCTATTTCCATAGGTTCCTCTTTTTCGTTAATTTCTTTATCATCATAGTTATCATCATATTCATCATCATATTCATCATTATATTCATCATCATCATTATATTCATCATCATCATCGTAATCATCGTCATCATCCATGTCGTAGTCTTCTTTTTCATCGACGACATCAATGTTTTTTAAATTGTACACCGAGTCGCCATCTACAAACATGGCCTCGTACGGTTTTACATACTCGATATTATTTATAACAGGTTTGCCATATTTGTAGATGGCCTTGTTAACATCGTCATAAATGGATTCCATTATTTTTTTAGTTAATCTAAAAATAATTACAATAATATAAAAAATATAAAAAATTAATATTCCATGGGTTCTTCTACAAAATTTTTAACTTTATTAATTAATTCGTTTAAATTGTTTATTAATTTAAAATTATTTTTTTGTTGTTCGTCAATCAACCATCTTTGTAATGTTTTTAATATAAATTGCGGATTAAATTTTTCTTCTGGATTAACTTGAAAAAATAGCGTAATGACTCGACATATTTTAAGATATTGTATATCATAATCGTTGTCAATGGCTTCAATAACACAGCGATGCATGTTTAAATAATTAGCAAATTGCTGCCAATAGGTGTCAAGATGTAATGCCAAGATATTTGTTAATTTATTTTCACTCATTTTATTTAAAATATTTAAATCTGTAAAAAATTAAAAAAAGTGATATTATATAAATATATATTTTTTTTAACAACAAAAAAAATATTAAAAAAAATGCCTCGCACAAGATATACACCTAGATCAAAAAAAACTGTAGATAATTATTTAAATAATTAAATTGATTTTGTACGTACTACAACAAACTCGCAACAAACGCAAACAGAAAATAGAGGGATACCAAGCAATTGTAAAAATATATTAGTATGTTTACGAAAAACTAAAAAAACATATAAAGATAACAAATCTAACCGTAAATTAGGTCGCGTTGGTAAAAAAGTTAAACGATGGAAAATATCAAACGAAGCTTACCTTAATCGAAAACACGAAAGAAATGCAGCGTTAAAAAAAAGAAAAAAGAAATAAACAATATATTTTATTATAATAAAAAAAATAATTAAACATGATCTTGAAAAAATAAAAGTCCTTCTTGTATTTGTTTTGTTAAATATTTAATTTTTCTCTCTTTGTTTCGCTTGATTTTGTATTTACTCTTTTTCTAAAAAAAAAAAAAACTTAAAAAAATTGTTTTTTTTAATTGAAAAAAATAATTTTTTTTATAAATTACCTTTTTTGTTTTATTAATTTGAAAGTCGGTATTTTTTTTTGCGGTCCTATTTCTTTAATTTCTAAGGTAGACTGGTTTTCCGTTTTTTCGTTCAAAGTAACGAAGAATTCATCTGTCGTTAAATCGATTGGATGAAAATCCAATTCCTGTTCATCTTCTATGACGATAGTTTCAGGCGTTTTTTTTTGCCACATTTTATTTCTGCAAACAACTTTAGTAATTGCCATTTGATTTTTGATATAAAAAAATGCAGCTTTTATTCAAAAATATTTAATCTCTATAGATTAAGTAAAATAAAAGATTTTTGTGACAAACAAGTTATATTTAGAAACTTTTAATCTTACTATTTACGTAGGATTATATAGGGAATTTCTCAGGGAATTTCCCTTATAATGTGCGTAAACAACTTTAAAAAAAATCTCTGTGTAGAAAAAAATCTCTACGTAAAGTGTTAAAATGACAATTTAAATGAATTCAAAACACGCTTAAACAACACGTCGACGTAGCATAGTGCATCGTATCATTTCCGCACTATGTTGTAAACCGCCATGAACCGATCGTCCAGGGTTCGAATCTCTCTATAACTTTACGGCTTTAACATTATATGTATAAACACATTGAGCGAACGCTTGATGACGTATGTCTAGATAGTTTAGTTAGTTATATGTTAAACACATTGAGTTACGGTGTTACTACTGATACTTGATGACGTCTGTCTAGTTAGCTTAGTTAGTTATATGTGAACCACATTGAGTATCATTGATACTTGATGATATGCATTGAGAAGCATATTCTCGGTGAGTCCTATATGTAAACCACATTGAGTATCATTGATACTTGATGATTGTACCCCACTGAGAAGCATACTCTCGGTGAGTCCTGAGCGTGTGTGAACGAGCGTGTATGTACGAATGGGTGAGCAGGCATAAGTAAGGCAAAAAAAATAATAGACTAAGTTAGTAAGGTTAAGTAAGTAAGTAAGTAAGTTAGATACAAACAACCGGTTGTAAAAAAACAACAGAGTAAAAATAATAAGTAGGCCTACTAAGAAAAAAGAAATAAGTCAGGTAAGGCAGGTTAAGTAAGGACAGTGTCGGGTGACACAAAAATTTTTTTAAAAAAAATATATAAGTTTTTTTTCTAAGTGTTTTTATTAGTCAAAAATAAAAAATGAGAAGGGGACACAGACGTAATAAACGTGCAAAAAGATATATTTTTATAAACAAAAAATTAAAACCGCATACACGCATAAGTAATATGATGGGGAAAGGTAATGTAGCTATTTGGCTTGCTAGAAAAATGAGTGTACCTTGGTAAATACTTTATATTTTAATAATATTTTTTTTAAGGTAAAAAACACCGTGGCGGTAACGTTTTTAGAAGATTAAGAGGCGGTTTTAGAAATCCATTTTTCATTAATCCTGTGGACAATTTATTTAAACAAATGATAAACTCTAAAAATTAAATTAGTTTAAAAGAGAATGTCATTAGATGAAGGTCGTTTGTTTAAACAAAATTTTTGCAAACATGCTAATAAAAGATATCACAGAAAAGAATATTGTATCAGTTGTTATACTAACGCATACGTTAATATTATTAAAGAAGATCTAGAGTTTTATAAATTATTACTTGAAGATATGGGCGAATATTCTTTAAATAACATAAGAGCCGATGTAACAAGTTATGGCGAATATATATTAACTTTTAAATATTTTAATGATTATCTATGTCAAATAATAAGTGGAAATAAAAAAGAAGGACATACAGACATTTCTACTTTTTTAGGAGGATTTGTTATTGATTATAAAGTACGTTCTGGATTATATACTATTAGACATGTAAATAAAGGCGATCTTTATATTGGTTATGAATTACCTATAATAAATTAGTATATTTAATACTGTTGTTTTTTTTAATTTTTTTTAAAAAAGGGTATATATAAAAGAATGAAAAATTTTTTTTTAATTTAAAAAAATGGACGTAACTTTTTTGAAAGAATCTCTCTTACAATTTTATAATGCTAAAAAATTGGAAATTTTTCAAACAGACGATAGTTTGAAAGATGTAAATGGAAATTTCAAGTTATTTTTTCGCTTAGACGGTAGCAATCAAATAAAAGTAACTCGTTCAAACGATATAGCTAGCATTGATTTTATATATGAAGTTATAAATGAAGATGAATTAGTTAAAAAACAGAAAGTATTTAGTATGAAATATGATGATTTTGTATCAGTTATAAAGGATTCATTATCAATATGGTTGTTAGAAGAAAGCGAATAAAAAAAAGACGCACTCGTAAAGTTAAACAAAAACAACGAGCTCGTGGTTTAACAGATTATGTTACACCACAAAATGTAACTAATGTTTTAAAAGTGGGTTCATTATTATATAGTTTAAAAAAAGCATGGAAAGGAAAAAAATCAACGCCTTCTGTAACAACAAAAACAGTTGCAATTCAACCACCTGTTAATTTATATAAACCGGCGGATAAAAGTTTTGAAGTATATTAAAGAACAATGTTGTAAAAAAATTATTTATTTTGAAATAAAATTAAAATACAATGTAAAATTTATTTTCTTTTCTTGTGTTTTATAATTTTTTGTTTTTTTTAATAAAAGTTTTTTCTTTCCTTTACAAGTATCGCATACTAGTTTATTTGTTTTTATTTTGAATTTTGCATAAGTTGGTTTATGTAGAAGCCAAACTTCATTGTTAAAAACGGTACTCGTACATTCTTTCAAGTAATTTAACGATTTTGGATCTTGTAAATTAACAATATATAATAATCCGTTTCCAGCACACGAGTCGCAATTTTCTTCTATAACTTTTTCATTAATCTTCCATAAAGCTGCTTTCTGTATACTTGTTGACATTTTATTATAATAAATTTTGAACAAAGCGAGTTTTTATTTCTTTTTTTGTCATGACATCATCTTGAGGTACGTCAATAAAATTATTTATATCTTTAAATCTTCTGTAATTAAAAAAATACGAATCGTTCATATTTTCATATTGTTTTAAAGCAAGGTTTTCTTCGTTCATAACATCTCTAATAGCATTGATATCTTGAATAGATATTTTATCCCATTGACATTCATTGTTAGTTCTTAATAATCTAGCATCGTTTAAAAAGCTTCTAATTTTGTTATTGGTCATGACTTCATTTTTAAAAATATCATTTTCTATAGGAATTTTCATTGTTTTCATTGTTACATTATTACGTACCAGACTCTCAGTTTTTCTTAAATTGAGATGAAGTTTCATGTCTTTTTCAAAAAGTTGTTTAGCAGTATCATCCAAGTGTTTCAATAATTTACTTCTAACAAAGTGAAAAAATGGAAGCAAATTTATTTGAGCTAGTTCGGAAGCATGAAGAGTCGAAACTTCATAGAAGTGATAGTTCAGTAATCTGCACAACAAAGGTAAATAAATTTGACCGTTAATAAGATAGTTTGGTAACAAGGATATAAAATAAGCGGCAAAAGCTCCGCACAAACTACTGTTTTCCCATTGAAAACAAGATTTGTTATAAGAATACAAAAGAGTTTGTTGACCTGTCATTGAACTATATTTTAATATAAATTTTGTAAACCAATAAAATTCATGATTATCAGCTGTCCATTCGTAAGGAAAGTGTTTAGTTTGTCGTATGTAAGAACTTATTTCAATTTCATTATAATTAATGTTTAAAGTGTTTATTTGTATGTTTCAAACAAATATTAGTTTATTTGTATGATTCAAACAAATGTCTATTACTTCTTAAAAAAGGTGGAATTTGTTTTAAACAGCTTTCAGTACCCAAACTGTCAAAACAAATATGATTATTGTCTAATTTGAGTAAAATTCTCCAATGTTCTCTATTTTCTTTACTAGTTTCGTTATTATAAATAAAAAAAGAGCCATTTTTTACCATTCGTTTAATAATGTTAACGTGTGTTTGGGTTTGACTCAATTCGTCAAAAGCGTAAACACCTATAAAATAATCTTTCAAAAAGGGTTCATTATTAAAATAACTAGACAAATATTCGTAAGTACACATTTTATTCTTCTTTTTCTAAACTAAAAAAACTTAAAATAAATAATGTTACAATAGCGTGTAAAATGTTAACAAATAATGTTTTTTTATTAGATGTGCCGTCTTTTATGATTCCTTCAATGTTTCTTTTAACAGATTTCTTTTTTAAAACTCCATCTAGTTTTTCTATGATGGTTGAAGCGGTAGGTAATATTTTTGCTGTAAAAATATCGACGAATCCGTCTGTTTGATCACCTTCAAATGGAACAACAGGTTTAAGATCTCTTTCAAGTAAAAAAACTTTTAGTTTAGATTTGTAATAGTCGGCTATAACATTTTCGTCAAGATGATCTTTTTTCATATTGTCAAATTTGTTCAAGTGAAATTGACATAGTTGTGGCTGGTCGAGTAAATTTTTAAATTTACTGTTTTTAAAACATTTTTCAATAGAATAAGAATTTAATGTAATTCTTTTTGAATTTAAAATGTTTTCAAGAAAATCTTTTGATGATGTATCTTTATAATGTTCCTCGTCTATAACTAGAGATGAAGGTGAAGAGTTTCCAGAATTGTTTTCTTGTGATTGATACCTTTTGGCTATTTCATCTAATGCGCAAACAGCGCAATTATTATGAATTTTTTTAATGATACTGTCAACTCGATTCATTTTTAATTATAAAATTTTTTTTTTAAAATTAGTTGTTTTTTTTGTTTTTTATACATGTTTTAAAATTTTTAAAAAAGAATGCGTTTTATTTTTATTAAAAAATATTGTTATTTTTTTTAGATTTGGTTGTTAGATACCGAGTATATTCATAATGAATCTACAAAAGATCATTTTTGGGGAAAAAATTGTATAAGAGAAATCTGTTTAAGAGCTTTAAACGAAGATTTTTGCTTACATCTACAAGTCTGGCCTTGTACCCCCTATAAAAACTTGGTAGAAAAACATCAAAAAGCTTTTGATCATTGTAAAAAATATATTCATGGTTTGCCATATGATCCTAGTTTCTTGGCTAACTCTAATAGTATTTTTTGCACAGATGTATACTATCATTTGGAATCTTATTTTAAAAAATATCCAATAAATTTAATATTCTATAAAGGAGGCAATATGGAAGTTTTAATTTTGAAATGTTTTAAAAATGTTTATTTTTTTAATCTAAACGAATTTGCGTTTCCAAAAATTAAAAGTATGAATTATTTCTATGA